GAGCAGTTATTTAAGAGCATTTTGAGCGAAATCTTACATACTCTGGCCTACAAACATATTTTGATGTTTATGTGTTAACATTCTGCAGAATGCCAGCTCCTGAAATATCGTTCGCATTGGGCTTGAGGTATTGCTCTGGCAAACAAAATTATGCGAGTTGCTTCTGGCATTGAATCTTTTAGGTACCATGAAGCGTAATACGTTTAAATGATCCTCTAAGCAACATTCCAATGCGATGCAATGAACCGGAAATCAAATCTGGTGAAATCCGGATTTAGACAAATTATTATGAGTTATCTGAATTATCAAAGTTGTCAGATTATCCGGATATCTTTGTAAAACTCGTTAATTTGGCCTGAAATTTTAAGAAAAATTCGAATTTTATGAAAATTTTGAATTTCCCAGGTCTAACAACATCTTTTGGCTTTGGAAGGATAAAATCCATGATTTTCCGACGAATGATCCATCATGCTGCCGCTGAACTCTCTTCTTGGCTGTCTTTTATAGAAGAAAGGGTTCCATAAAGCCAAAATTGTGAGATGAGCCATTTATCCATATTTCGGATTGACTAATGAAGAAAATTGTTTCCTGTAATTTCAGTCACTAGCCTTTACTTATGAAGATAGTGCAGAAGTTGGATGGATATTTGGAGCAATAGCATTTTTGTCTTTTGCAAAGGTAATTTCGTTCCAGAATTAGAACCGTGAATTCTTGACACCTCCTGTCATACTTCGAGCTTTAGTACGACTTCAAGGTAAAACGCACGACCGCAGATAACGTCCAAACTTTAATACTGTAGATTTATCGCCTGTAAATTGTCGTCACAACAAAACGATGAGTACTTAAGGCAAAGTCTTTAACTCTCTTCCTCTTTTGCCCCGTCTTCACTCCAACTCAGTCTATTCTTGGAAGAAAGCTTCTTCATGACTTTCGCAGTGAAACCGTTCTTTCACGTAGCACACTGCTCTCAGACTTGTAAAAGCTTATAATATAATCGTACCACTGGGCATTACTTCTTATTCAAGATCTTTTGTAATTTTCTGAAATTCTATCCAGAATCATCCCATTTCACACCGCTAACCTTCTTGCGTTTGGTTACGCGAATTAACCTTTCAATTTCTTAATTTTAAGAGTCATACTATAGAATCAATTTGGATTCATGCTCACCATTATCTTCAGGCTTATACTTATGGTTAACTGTGCCGCTTCACTCTATGCCACGGCATGCGTATTATGAAATAGAATATTTTAGACTTGTTAGTTACTCTTCTTTAGGTCTTAGAGTCAATGTTGTGGTGTTCTGCATATTAACAACGCTCTTTTCAAAGGCACAGTGCAAGCTGTTACAGCAAGAAATAAC